CAGCACTTGAGATTCTTAATAAGAAACAAAAATATCACCCAAAGCAGGAATACAGTTCTTCAGGCCACCACTGATCATTGTCATCTAATATCCTGTTGCTAGGACACTGCTAAGCATAGAAAAGTTAAGGACACATTATAAGCTGGGGGGATTTTTGGTAGAATGATGCTCTGATTCTCATGGATCTAAATTCAGAAGGAATAGAGGATCACAAAGAGAAAGAAATATATCTGGAAAGGAGTTTTTGAAATCATTTAAAGCTTAATAATCTAATGCCTTTAAATAGTAGATATATAAAATATTACCTTGAAAAGTATCAGTATATTTTATGAACATTTAATAATCTGTTGTCTATTCTATTCTGAATGGTTTTTTAATACATTTATGTAAAATCTAATTTAACCTATCCTTTAATTTCCTCAGAAACCAGGTGGCCCATCCTTGACCCCAAAAATAAAACTTTTGTTCTGACATTATGGCTTTAGTTTTGCAGGATAGAGTAACCAGTGTTATTAAATTTTATTCTCTTGCGGTACTCTAAATAGAAATGAGGTCTCTTCATTTGATTTGGGAAATTGAATGCCAGTTTGAGAATTCAAAACAGTGTTAGTTTCAAGCTTGAGTTCCTCTGCATAGTGCCAAGTTCTCTCCTTTGGCCCTGAGGCATGCCTCTCAATGAGAAAATGTGGGGAAATAATGACTCCACTATATCCCGAGATCATCTTGCCTGTATACATAACATTGTCCTGAAAATCTATCCAAATGTGGTTCATTAATAATAGGGGCACATGTGAACAGAATCATGTTTGGACATATTAGTCCAAATTACACATCCACGTGTAATTTGGACATCATTGTTCAAATGTGAGTTTTGTTGCTAAAGGCATAGTAAGCCATAGTATGTATAAAATAAGATTAGATATGTACCATGGCATTGCTCATTTAGTTTTATATAGGAAATATGCCTATCTGAATGGAAATGTACTGTTTCTCATGTATGAAGCAAGATACAAAGTTGGAAGTCTGTTCATCACCATGAGCTGATGAGAAATGTCTGGAATAGCGTGTGCAATACAATGTGCCTAAATAATGTTTATATCACTGAACCACAAATGTAATAGAACTCTGCAGATACTGTTAGGTTTAATCTCAGAAAGTAGCAATGAAGCTTTGAATTACTAAATACTGACCACATTTCTTGAAGAACAAAATAAATGAATATTTTCTAATATACAATCATAGGAGCAGCCTGGATCTACCTTGGTCTTGGCCTCCGAACACATCTTGTCTCATCATTCTCTTAATTCAACATTTTTATCTTATGTTCAAAATACGTATTTCATATTTATGCAGAAGGAAAGAAAACCGTAGCTCTCATAACACTTATATGCACTTTGTGTACAAAACTGTGCAATTATAGTTACGATGCCAAGAGTTTCTCAATATTTGCTGTCAATCACCTGTTAGTCAAATTTCCCTCATCAGTCTGATTAGGAGCCACCTATTGCTGGGACAGTTGCTTAGTAGAGAAAGAATTACAGTTAGTCTTCCTCAAAGTAGGGTCAGATGAAAATGAGGGCCTCTTGGAGCGGGGCTGGGGGAAAGGTAGTTTAAAGCTCCTCCGGGAACCGGCTTTCAGTGAGACAAGCAGGCTTGACTGCCTTCAGCGATTCTCAACTAGAACCAGAGAGAGCAGATAAAAATAATTTCAGTTCTGAATGAAAAGCAATCAGTGCAGTCACTTTTCACAGTTAAAGACAGCATGACCTAGTAGAAAGTATGTATTCTTTGGTCAGGTTGTGCCACATGGCAGCTACATCACATTGTGACAACTTAACTTCTCTGAAGTAAACTTTCTCATCTGTAAAATGGGTTAACGGCAAGTCTTTGGGATCATTTTATACATAAGTAGGAATATAAATATATTGCTTAGCGTGATGCTAGAACATTGCAAGTGATCAATAATTTATACACAAATATCCGGATTTCTTCGGTCTTTTGTTTTGCATGTTGCTGCCTTACTAGCTACTATGTACACACGGTAGCCGTGCCTCCCTCCCTGACCGTTAAAGGCTCCCACGGCTATTTCTGGAGGTCGCCACAGTGTGACACACGTTGCATGAGAGGCCAACTCTCTTTCACCATCTTCCTCATGAGGCTGCCTCACATGTCTCTTTGGGAGACATTGCTCTTCCCCAGGGCAGGCGGCACCCAGAGTGCTCTGGGAGGACTCTGATCTGAACAAAGTCCCAGGCAGAGGCTGCAGGAGGCCAGTGCTGTGCAATGGATGAGGGCAGAGGGAAAAGATGGCCTTCATCCTTTTTCACTTGGATCCTAAAAACAGATCAACTGGCTTCTTCAGCTTCACTCTCAGGATAAACCTGACCTTGCAGTTATGCTGGGAAACCAACCTGTTGGCCATTTCCTTGCCTCTTCCCTTGGTGCCCAGCAAGGACAGCATTATCCCGCCCTCCCAGGACGCCTGTGAGATTGATATATTGAAGCCCAACTTATGGATGAAGAGACTGAAACCTAGGGAAATTCAGAACACTGTCTACCCTCCTCTTCCTCCTTCAAATCAATACTGGGGTGATTATCGGCCTCAGATGCCCATTCTTCATTAGGATGAGCCCAAGGCTGCCCTGTAAGAGGCAGCAATTCTCATTATTCCCATCCTGCTCTATCAAGTAAGGCCACAGTTTACACTGATTGAATAGTGAGTCTGAAAAAATACACAGAATAGGAATTGGTTCAAAAACCAGAGTATCAGGGAGAGAATGGAGGCAGAGAGTTAGGAGACTAATGAGAATGGTTTTGAAAAACAAAATGTGCTGATTGTAAAAAATAATGTAAAAGAGGCAAATCTAAGAGGATACATGTATCATCACTTTTTTATTAATGCTTTTTTAATTTCTTAAATCAAATAGCACCAGCTACTTCTCTCACACTTTTCCTCAAACTCACTGTCCTGATCTCTTAAAAAGAAAAAAAAAAAGACAGATAATGCCATATTCCAGATAATGAGCAAGAATTTCTCTTCTTTTCACTGTAATCTCCATTTCCTTAATTAGTCTTTCTGTTTCCAAGGACAGGTGGGAAATTATTGAGGAACTATATTTTTAGTGAATGAAGTTTTGATCCCAGTCTACAAGAAATCTCTAGAGATTACTTTCAAACTAAAACCAATGTCATACCCAATAGAAACTTTAGTTTTGTGGAATGCGGGGGTAGGTGGGGCAGGGGAGAGCAATGGGGGGGGGGAATTGGGACAACTGTAATTGAAAACAATTGTAACAACAATTGATACAAAGAAAAAAAGAAAGGCTAAATGAGAGCAGTCCAAGAATGTCCTTCCAAAAAGAGGGTACACTCAGTACACTTGCCCAATTACTGTCAAGAATTATTATTCTTCTTAAACTAAAAAATGAAAAGGAGAATTGTTCTACTGATAATGTTTTCTGTTATTTATCCAAGGCTACTCAAAGATACTTTGGTTATCAGTCTCTTTATTTGCCAAGCATAATTTTTTTTGTGGGAGATGTCAGTTGTATTTATCAAAAGGCCAAATTCAATTTCAATTCTCTTTGCAGGAGCCTTGCAAGTAGCATAGAAAGAACAAGATAGTATCAAATGCACTTTAATAAAATGTAAAGGTTCGCAAATATTATAACCAATCCATTTTGTACTAATATTTCAGATTGAAATGTTCAAAGTAATTTAGCTCTGATGCTTTGGGTTTTCTGAATTTCCCAAATTACGTGCCTATTTGCTGCTAATATCTGAAAAACAAGAAGAAATGAGACCAACAAGATATTTGCATAGATACTAATAGAAAAGGATGATGTTGTATCAGTTTATTTTTCTTCTCGCATATTTCTTATTAGCGGCTTGAAGTGATCCATAGATCAAGAAATTAATAGACAATCAAAGCTTTCTTGTTTACTACCACTCCCATATTTGCCTTTCTCCAAGGCCTGTTTTCCCTTAATCAGAATTCACAGCAAAGAGGGAAGTGGAACGGACATGAAAATGCCCACCACGTTCAAGCGTTTTATTAGTAGCGCCCCTCCATCAGCTGCACATATAGAAGTCTTAGAAAAAGTTAACTTTTTATATTGAGATATGGATTGATAGTGTTTTGTCCATTATTTTTTCATATTTAAGTTCTTTAAAATATTCACTAAATGTGGAACTGATAATGTAATGAACTGATAATTTAGTGCATTCTTTGTTCATATGCTAGTTACGAACGTTAATTCGATGCCTCTAGCCAAAAATTCAAAAGCAGGTGAGACTCCTCATTTCCGTCTGTTTCCCTTTCTTGTAAAAGGGAAGGTCATCCCGCCTGGTTTGGCCTTTACAACAAGGAAATAACGAATGGCAATTTGGGAATTAATTCACTGTTTGTAGCATGCCAGGCCCTCCATGGTTTGGTTCCCATTGATGCTGATTTGCAGGAGTGTGGGACAGGAGTCTTTGGCATTTTTGCAATTCTTATAGTTGCTAGCAGAGATGGTTACTAAGAGTCCTTTGATATAAATTGAGGAATTTGGTTAAATGAGTCAGATCCTTTTACTTTGTCTTCTTACATAAAACATGCTGTTAGAGGGTTTATATGTTTTAAAAGTAGTGAAACAAAAATTACTCCATATATAAAAAATATGGATTACTTCCTTCCTATAAAAATTTACAATCTGTTCTTCAGAAGAAAGAGATAAACATGCATAGATGCAAATCAATTCTGTATTGGTTTCTTGTTACCACAGTAAAGAAGGATGCTGAGGATTTAAGTTATGATTTAATTTTGATTTTGAATTCATACCATTACCTAATGTACATGAAATAACCATTATCGAATGGAACTGATACATGCAACAGTTGGCTGCATTTAAATGATTTTTTTTAAAAAATGCTTACAAGAAGTCTATTTTGGGGGTGTTTTGCTACTTAGGTACGGAACTAGACACACATGTGTTTTTATGTTGATTTTTCTCTGCTAGGACTGGGAATTCCCACATTTCATGGGAGATGTTGATGTAAACCTCCCTGGTTTGCATACGCCTCACATGCAGTTCAAGATCCCTTTCTTCCAGAAGATCTTCAAGGAGGAATATCATATTCACATAACAGGTACGTTATGACTTGGAACAGGATTTGTCTCCTACTTAGACTAGCTCTAGCCGCTATTAAAAAAGCAAATGGTAACATTTTAGAGGCCTACATGAATGTAGTTTCATTTCTTATTCACATAACAGTACAAGGTGGTTCCAGGTCAACTGGGGCTCCGGCCTGCTGCTCTTGGACTTAATTGGTGGCTTTAACGATTTCCATTTCAACATCCAGTAGACAGTTGGGAATAAAGAGAAAGGGGAAAATGATTAAGAAGCCGTACCTCTTTCTCAACCATCTTGGCTTGTGTAAAAAACATGTCAACTTCACTCACATTCTATTGGCAATAACTGTTTGGATAGACCCACGGAGAGTCAAGGAGAGGGGAGAAATGTAGTCCCCAGTTGGACGGCCATTTCTGGTGTCAGACCTAGTGCTTAGCACAGGATTATCAGAGGGGAGGACGTACCTTTGACGTGGCGAGTTAGCTAACTCTATACCGTAGTAGGAGAGAGTTAGCCCCCCTCCCGCTCATACCCCACCTTGGGCTTGTCCCTTCGTGGCTTTCCTTGTCACAATACACAGCTCAGGAAATTTTTTCAACGTGAATACTCTTTGTGCTTTGTTTTTTATTTGTGCCTGAGCTCGACTCGGTGGTATCCTCAAGCTCCAGTCAGACCCTATGCCTTTAGGGAGTCGGGCCGCTTCTCATTTGATGGCGTAACAACTTCCTTCTGTGGCAGAGCTCCTGTTTGTCTCAAGGGACTCCCCCCGTGGCTCCTCAGGTTATTTCATCTTCACATGTGTCCTGCTTTTGAAACACCTCCAATATGATTTATTATAACATTCTTTCATGACATCTCATTCTCATCTAAAAAAAGGCTTCCTAGGGTTGTGTTTTATACCTCGTTTTCTTTATGAAAGAAGCAGACAGCTGAGTGATCAAATGAAGCATGGCATTAGTCCCCAAGCGGTTCAAATGTAGGTAGCCAATGTGTGTGTTTCAAGGAAAATGTCTGAGGATCCCACACCTGCTATAATAAAAACTGCTGGAGAAACCTGTGCTTACACTTCCGTCTGTGCTGCTGAATAAAAATAGTTTGAACACAGAAAACCGGAATATCTCTGAGCGCTGCAGAAAACCTGTGCGTCTCAACTTGAAGGCTGTTGTTTTCTGCTTTCAGGCTGAGGCGACCTTCCTAAATTGGAGGATGAGCTCATGAATAGGGAAGATGCAGCAGGTTTATTTTCCTACTCAGAATGAATGAGGCCTATCTATTAAATTCACTGGGTAAATCCATCAATTTGAGTTCAGGTCACATAATGTGGTTTCCGAGTCCCCACTTAATCTCGGCAGCATGCTACCCTCTTGGACTTCTAAAGCAGCCATCACACACATGGCATCATCGTATCCCTTTGGGTGGGCTTTTGCCCGGACCATCTGTTCCTGCTCTCAGCTCTTGTCCCAGGCCATCATGATACTAATATTGTCTCTGACTGAGTATCAGAATCTCTGTGAAAAATATACTGCTTGAGTGCAGAATATCAGGTTTAAAAAGGGGGTGGGGGGACTGAGGGAAACCATTGATTAGAAAAAAAAATCAAGCTACTAAAAGTATTTGATTTGGGACTGTTTTACATGGCTTTATGTCAGATATGCTGATTTATAGACGGGACAGGTTCAAGTTTCGTGGCACTCGAAGCTTACACAATTCGGAATGCTCTATTTAAAAACATGAATACGAAAGAACAACTGAAAATTATACTGAGAGCCCTGGAAGGGGACCGTGCATACAGAGGACCCCTGAAGCTTCGGATCATTAGCCTTGAGGTAGAGACTCCTATGGCTTCGAACTTAAACCTTCCTCCCAACAAGTATTATTTTGTAAAATCTTAATGGAGACTGCATGTAAATAAAGTTTGCCAGAAGGTGGAAATATATTGTGATAAGGTTTTGGTGCAGGGTTTTGCCAAATTATGCTGATGATCATATCACCTGGGGAACTTTATAAATATACAGATTGTTGGGCCCCATTCCTAATGGTTCCCACCCAGCAGGTCTGGGCAAAAGCCAGGCAACGGGGCTCTGGAACACTTCCCCATGTGATGCTGGTCTTGGGAACTTCTCCATCTGATTGAGAAGCCGCAGTTGAGGTCAGACTGTCTCCCTGAGTCAGGCCATGAGTGCAGATGTCTGGGGGCCTGGACCTGCCGGGAAAGCTTTTGAGGATTCTGGAGTTTAAATTAAAAGTAAAATAGGGTACATGTGGGTTTGGGGGTAAGGGAATTCACCATAAACAATTCAAATTCAATATGTGGTAAGAGGATCATGCGTCTCCCCAGATCCATCCATGATAAAATTTTCTAGGAAAACAGGTGATAGATTTGGAGGCTAAAGAAAGCCATAGCTTCTCCCCATCTTGTTTTTGTTATTGCCGTTGTTCATTAATCGGCTGAAGAGGTTGCTGAGGCTGCTCTAGAGTACGTCTATCTCCTGTAAAGACCTTTTACTCTGTCTGACATTGTAAAATCATTGCTTTGGGGCAAACCTAAGTAAAATGTCAGAAACACAGTGCTCCATGTTGTATTTTAGTGTCCTCAGTAGTGAGTAGCCCACAAATTTCCAAGTGCACTGCAAATGCTAACTCGATCACCTTCTCCAAGTGCTGCTTCTTTTTGTAGGGAGATTTCAGGGCTTTTCTTGATAAGCAAATATAGCTTCACCCCTGGGTGATTAAGCATGAAACAGCCTGTATCTGTCAGTGGTTACCAAACTCTTGGTGTCTGGGAATCACCTGGAGAGCACCCGGAGCCAGATGCCTGAGGCGTGTGCTAGAGCCTGGGATCTCCTGGTCCCTCCAGCACCACCAGGGATGCTCATGCAGGGTGCGGGGGACCGCACTGAGACACGCTGCTGCTGAGAAACATTTCCTATAGTCAGAATTCCTCTCATCTCAGCTGTTTTCCTTAAAAGAAAAAAAAAAAAAAAAAAAAAAAAAAAAGATGGTCAGGCTTTACTTATAAAATAACTATGCTAAAGTGCTGGCATTGCAGGACTGAATGGTGGGGCCTCTCTGGACAGGCCGACATCATGACTCAGGCTCCCAGGCCATCCTCCTCGGCCCCCAGGCTGGAGAGGCTGAAGGACTGGCAGGCCAGTCTGCCCGGGCTCCCACGGCAGGCAGTCTGCATGGCACTGGCATCCAGGGTGGCCACCAGCAGCACCGTCCAGTCCTCAGGGTCTCAGATGATGTCGGAGCCAAAGCTGAGGGCATTGTGACAAAAACAGACATGTGGGCACTCCAGAAATGAGAAACGGATGGGTTTTGTCATCCCAGGTTTAATTTCTCTTTGCGCGCAGCTCTTAAAACAAAGCTCTGAGGGTCAGAATGCAAGTTTCATGGAAATGGGGTGGCCAGTGAGAAAGGCATATGGGAAGGCCCTGCCAGGAGCTGGGAAGTTGAGAACTGGGGCCAGTACAGGAGGTCCCAAAGCCAGGCGTGACTGGGAAAGGCCCGAGGGACTGCGGAAGACACTGGAGCTGGGGGAGGAGGGGATCCCATGGACCACCACGTGGCTCTGTGTTTTGCTTTCTCTCCTGTGTTTGTTTGGCACTAGAACAGGCTGAACAAGGGCTATGAGGATTCTCTGTGGTCTCCAAAGGGTGTTCAGGGCATGTTGAGGTGATGGAATGTTTGGTGCCTAGGCTCCAGCTCTGCTAGTGATAGGGGGCATGGCCCTTGTCAAGCTCCTTACCCTCTCAGAGGCTTGGTTTTCTCATCTGTTAAATGGATACCATACTGGTACTTACCCACTGGTTGCTGTGAGAATTAAATTAACTGACATGCACAAGGCATTTAAAACACTGTCTGCCACATGGGAAGCACTCAAATTCTCACTGCCTTTACTTAGAGCTTTTCCATGTACTCACCCAAGGTTTATGTTTTCTTTTAAATTAAAAAGAAACATTAGACAGCCAAAAAAGGGCATTCGTAATGTTAATGCAGTGCTGTGGGTTCTCTACTCTTACTGCTCCAAGTCCTCAAGAAGGAGGCCGACAAGGATGGAGGAAATGTCTCTCCCAGTGACATGCTCTGGATATGGAGGGTTAGCTGGCACTGAGGGGTTCCCATTGACATTTTCAAAGCATTAAGGATTCGCGTATTTTTTTATCCTGATTCTAAGCTAGTTTTATTTATGCATGTCAGAAATAACTTGGATTGTTGCATCTGTTTAGCTCATCTGGATCCCCCTTGACAGATGGTTTGTTGTAGTATGTATGAGCTTTCATTTCATAAGCTCGGCTACAGCTTATAAAAATAAATCCTCTTTATCCAAGGGTGTGTTAAAATATTTTTTTTCTGGGAATTTTGACTTCACTAACAAAGGGGAGAGATGGTCAGTGGTTAGGTCACATTGGTGCTTTTCAGCCCAATCCCAAAGTAAATGCTAAATGCAACTGTGTAATTCTCTCCTCTGCCCTCTTCTCGTTTACCTATAAGGTGAGTGCAAGGCGGATTCGAAATGTGATGTATTAAGTCTCTAGAGGCAAGAGAGGAATGGCCTCCCAATCCAATCTCAGAAGCTCCTCTGAGTCCTATTAATGCCAATCCCGGTGGAAGCTCTGCCATCTGTCATCCCAGCCAGACAAAGGAAGTGTCCCGTTGGTGGCCATCATCTGAGTAAATTAGGAGGGGGCTGGAGGAAAGGCCAGAAGGAAGGCCTGTGCCTCTGCGAGGAGCGCATTCTCACTGTTGGCGTGATGAGGCCCCTGGGAACCCTTTCGGCAAAAATGGAATATGTTGAAGTAAACAAGCCTCTGTAGCGTCTCTGTTCTATTTTTGCTCCCTGAACAGTGTGAGGGCACAGAGGCTTTATAATGGAGAGAATGTGGAAAATAATGAATAAAACCCCTCCGTTTTATTTCCAAAAGTGCATGATTTCTGGCAAATGAGTTCCCAGAGATTATTTTTTTAAAAGATCTCTCCTGTGTTAATCAGATCATGGGAAGTGCTGGGAAT